CCTGCTCTGGGTTTGACGGGGTAGAGCCATGACCTCCCCATCGGCCCTGCCCTGAGTGTGACAGTGGCGGCGCCCCAACCCCCTGATCGGCCCTGCTACGTGGGTGATAGAGGGCGGCGCCCCAACCCCCTGATCCTCCCTGCTCTGGGTGTGACAGGGAGCGGTGCCCCAACTCCCCTATCAGCCCTACTCTTTGAGTGACAGGGGGGAGCTCCTCAACCCCTTGATGGGCCCTGCTCTGGGCGTGACGGGGGGAGCTCCCCAACCCCCTGATCAACCCTGTTCTGTGCATGACAGGGTACAGAATCCTAACACCCCTGATGGGCCCTACTCTGTGAGTGACAGGGGGCAGCGCCCCAACCCCCTGATTGGCCCTGCTCTGAGCCTGACCAGGGGCTGCACTTAGGGATTTAGCCTGCCCTCTGCCACCTGGGAGCAGGCCTAAGCCAGCAGGTCGTTATCTCCCGAGGGGTCCCAGACTGCAAGAGGGCACAGGCCGGGCTGAGGAACCCCCCCTCCCCTCCGAGTGCACAAATTTTTGTGCACCGGGCCTGTAGTGTACACCAATAAAAGAGAAATATGCAAACTGACAGTCCCTCAGATATGCCCACCAGCCCATCAGGGTGATATGCAAATTAACCCAACAAAGATGGTGGTTAATTTGCATACAGAGGCACAGAGCAAAGCCTGAAGACAGCGTAGAAGGAAGCCAAGCACTGCAGAAGGGAGCAAAGTGGCGGAGAAGGGAACGGAGCTGAGGCAGCAGACTCTGGAGGGAGCGAAGCAGCAGACACGGGAGGAAGCGAGGCAGCAGAGACAGGAGGGAGCAAGGCAGCGGAGATGGGATGGTGCGAAGTGGCGGACATGGGAGGAAGTGAGGCAGTGGAGACGGGAGTGAGGTGGTGGACATGGGTGAGGCAGCAGAGATAGGAGGGAGTGAAGTGGCGGACATGGGAGGAAGTGAGGCAGTGGAGACGGGAGTGAGGTGGTGGACATGGGAGGAAGTGAGGCAGCGGAGACGGGAGTTAGGTGGTGGAGATGGGATGGACAGATGTTTTCTGGGACAGGTTTTAGATAACCTCTCCTCCCTGCTTTTTGATCTCTCTGTTTGGTCTCTCTCCCCTTCACCTTTCTTAGTAAGCATGTTTTCATTTGTTTTGTAAGCATGTTTTTAAAGAATTTAATTATATTTATTTTTGTGATAAAGTGAAGTTGACAGCAGATCTGGGGATGCTCTGCTTGGATCCCTCAGCCACTTTCTTTCAGGCTCTAAGTGTCTATACCACCTATATCACACTATTAAAATTCTATGCCAAAACCGGTTTGGCTCAGTGGATAGAGCGTCGGCCTGCGGACTGAAGGGTCCCGGGTTCGATTCCGGCCAAGGGCATGTGCCTGGGTTGCGGGCACATCCCCAGTGGGAGGTGTGCAGGAGGCAGCTGATCGATGTTTCTCTCTCATCGATGTTTCTAGCTCTCTATCTCTCTCCTTTCTTCTTTCTTTGTTACTCATGTTGTGGCCTCTCCCCAGTAGGGGGTGTGCAGGAGGCAGCTGATCGATGTTTCTCTCTCATCGGTGTTTCTAGCTCTCTATCTATCTCCTTTCTTCTCTGTAAAAAAATCAATAAAATATATTTTAAAAAAATTCTATGGACAGTATGAAATAAGCCTTCACCCACTTACAGTAGCAATCTTAAAAATAAAAATGAAGCTGCCCAGCCGGCATGGTTCAATGGTTGAGTGTCGACCTATGAACCAGGAGATCACAGTTCGATTCCTGGTCAGGGCACATGCCCAGGTTGCACGCTTGATCTCAAGTGGGGGGCATTCAGGAGGCAGCGGATCAATGATTCTCTCTCCTCATTGATGTTTCCCTACCTCTCCCTTTCTCTCTGAAATAAATTTAAAAATATATATTTTTTAGAAAATGAAGCTGATAAAGCTCAAAAGGTTTTTTCATTGCCACCTCCTACTACATAACGTTCTTTTTCATGAAAGCAAAACCAAGCCTTTTTGCCTGAACAGGAAGGTTTATAACAGCCTTCTTTGTGGTTTGGTCATCAGAAGCAGAAGAAAGGGAGGAAAGTAGCAGAGGTCTCTGTTGGGTTTCCTGACCTTAAAGGGGAATGGATATAGGGAGTAGGCAGACACCAAGAGGATTTAGTGAAATGCCAAGGAGCTGACATCACTGGTTCTTACATTTCTGACTAAGTTTCTCACATAGGTGAGTAGGTTCTGATTAATAACATTCACTGTTGTTCGAAAGACATCATGGAGCAAGGATGGTGTGTGATCGGCCACCTTTTTGGCCAACAGCATGGTCAACATCAGCATGGTCTTCTCCTTCTCCATGTCTTTAGGATAAGTGTGCATGACCTGCTCCAGGGCAGCAGCAAGGCACTCCCTTCTTTCCTGTATAGAGGTGAAAACAGAAGGCTACGTCACTAATATTCTTCACTCTTAAATGAAAAGTAGTCCTCCAGTGGAAAGCATAAAGAAACACGCTCTCATTTTACAAGGAAGTATTTACTAAATAGCTAAGGTGGTTGGAAGAGAGAATGAGAAACAATTTAGTTTTGAGAGGAGATGGAAAGGGAAGACTGCGATTACTCCCTGGAGTGGGACACTCATTAACCAAACACGTGGTCACTGAGCATCCTGTGTGCACATTCAACACTGATGGAACTAAAGAAGCCAAGTTATTCCCTACCTCTGAAGCACTTCAAATCAAGAATTAGTTAACTACCCAAGATATCACATGTCCAGTTACTGGTACAGACCTCGCTAGAGGGAGGGAGGAGGGGCTGCATGTGATATTCCCACCTGGAACAGACACACATAGAGCATTAGACTTGAGAGAGCCTGCAGGCTCATTACTTTCATGGAGAATTAACATTGTGGGAGAGGTCCCAGGCAGAACATCACTGGATGCTTACAGATTCTGTGACAGCTGGTGAGACCATCATATGGGGAGAGACCACTAAAGAGGGGATAAGCCTTCTTGGAGGCAGAAGACCTGTCCTGGTTGAATCTTGGAGGATTAATACATTTCTATGTAGTGAGAGGTACTTGCATTTTTAGCTGGTAGTAAAAAAAATACCTTGGGGTATTTCTCCCACTAAGTTTCCTTGTGTCTTAGACCTATCTTTGTATCCCCCACAGTGCTTGGCAAATGATAGAAGCTCTGTAAGTATTAGTATGTGGATTACAACCATGAAACCAAGAGTAGTAGGCTAACATGTTGCTTTTCTTGTCACACCTGGGTGACTTAAAGTTCTCTATTGGCATTTTTATTCAGCTCCCTAAAACTGAAGAAAATTATTTCTGGAAGAGTCATATACATTTTGTTCATCTTTTTAGTGGCTTTTATCCTGAAACTCTTTGACTCATTCCTAAATGTCAAATAACTTAAATCTTCTAAAAGACAATTAACCATGCTATAATTTCTATTTCCAATGCTTTTGTGGACAGTCATGAATTGAATTACCTCCCTGAACCCTGGTTTGTCTGATAGCAGACAGAGGGCAGACCTTATTGGTTAAACTGACAATGCAAAAAGCTCTCACACTTCTCAATTAACCCAGAAAAGGCACCAAAGGGTTTATCACTTACTTCCTCTGACAGGTTCCCATTCATAAACTGTATTGCCAGGTGATTCACCAGTCTTGGGGGGATGCTGCGGTCCATCCTGTCCCCTATATGAGCAAGTTGCCTGGCGATATTCTGGATGATTTCATCTTGACTCTCAGAATCTGAATGTTCAGGAAGGAGCAGCAAAGACAAAGCAGACTCAGACATTGGTCCCGTTCTAAACCCTCATCCCACTGTACCCACCTTGGAGAAAGGAAGGAATTCTGCTTTAAAACAAAGCCAGCTCCCACTTCCACAGCACACCACAGCGG